ACGGAACCGAAGAGTTGGCTGTTCTGAAGATTTTGATTTTAATGGCATTTATTTGGAAGCAATTCTTGAAGCACTTGATTGCGTGGACACGAGTGGTGTGTCTGAGGGGACAGTTGTCTCGTTGTGTTGCACTCGTGTTCACAGAACTTAATGTGGAATTGAGTCGAAAGCAGACATTCTTGAGACACAACGAGTCAAATGAGTGACAATTGAATTGTTTGGTAATTATCTGAAACTCTTGCGAATCACTGGCCGAAGAAATCTCCAATGAATCGCTTTTATTATCGTTGAGTTTGAGTCCGATCTCCAACTCTTTGACATTCATTTTGAAAGTCGACCGCAAAGTGATCTCAATTGGGGGTCGGATGTAGGGCTCAGTCCTGACACAGACATCACATTAAGTCAATCAATGGTTAGTTAGGGCACAGGGAGGACAGGGAGCTTAAGATATATGGTGACAGATATAGCAATACTTTGTGTCACATTCAGCGGACATCTCATACCTGAAGCCCAATTGTCTTCGTTGGACGTCATCCGCAAACAGATTATCGATTGAATGCATGTCTGAAGCGATTTGTTTGCATTCAATGGACATCAAGTGATTGCGAAACAACTGTTCACTCATTATATTAATAGACATATCGTTTGATTCAAGAAATTGTCGTTTATTTCAACCAAATGTCAGTCAATACAAGCAAATCAGATGTCAATTCAGTTTTGACTCAAAAATATTTACAAAATCTTTTCAAATGAGACACAAAAGTGAGTGAAGAGTAGAGTTATGCCATAAATGACGTCAAGAGAGAGCCATTGAAGGGACGGGGGTTTAGGCGACGAAATCGAGGGGTCGGTTGAAGCCTCCCTTCCGGTTCATGTATTGCCTGCAAAGTAATCACCAGTTAATCACTGATTAGCACTCAATTCATCCCAATGTGAGACCTGTATTTGCGCTTTTGTAGCAAATGTACGGCCGATATGTCGTTCCCCTTCACGTGTTTGCCCTTTGAGTGCACAAAACAGTCACACAATTAGTTACCCATTGATTGCGATTAAAAGTTAGCAATAATTGAGCCCTACTTTAGTGGTGTCGAAGCCCACGAAACCCATGGTCTTAATCATATCGATCTCTTCGGGCGACTTTCCCTCCAAATCCTCGGCACTGATCTCCGGTCTCTTCTCTTGTTTCTTGAGATCCGCTGAACTCCTCTCTCTTTACCACAGAATCCAAACATAAGACAATTCATTAGATTATAAGACATTATAAGACATTCAACGGAAACAACTAAATATCAATCAATACTTGGATCGACTCCTGCGACGTCTTCTCATTGGTGACCGACTTCTGCGACGATCTGATCCATACATACATACAAACAATGCATTGAAATGATGGCAGATATGGAGGACAGTGTGAGACACTTACCACTGGAATGGTCTCTATTCCTATCACTTCTGTCTCTGGGTTTGTCTCTCACGACAGGTCTGTCAGGTCTGTCCCTTTCGCGGGCATTGTCTCTGTCTCTCTCCCGTTCCCTTTCCCGCGACCTCTCCCTCTCCCCCCTCTCCCTATCCCTACCTCTCGAGCCCTTACTCTCAAAGTCTCTGTCCCTTTGGGTCTTCCGTTTGATGACACGATCTGTGAACAGATAATTCAGATATCACTCAATGGTTGACGTGTTTGGCGGTCATGTGAGGCATACCTTTGGGCCGATTGTGCGGACTTCTGGAGCGACTTCTGCTCACACTTCTGGCCATCGGTGGTCACAATCAAGACAAACAAAATGTGTTACAAATGCTATGA